CATTCTTCCAGAAGCACATTTCTGAGGTCAGGCACTGATGTCGGAGGAGAAGGCCTGGCTCGCAGTCTCCACTCTAATTCATCCCAAAGGTGTTCTATGGGGTTGTGGTCAGGACTCTGTGCAGGCCAGGCAAGTTCCTCCACCCCAAACTGGATCATCCATGTCTTTATGGACCTTGCTTTGTGCACTGGTGTGCAGTCATGTTGGAACAGGAAGGGGCCATCCCCAAAGTCTTCCCTCTTGCTCTTGGGAGCATGAAATTGCCCAAAATGTATGCGGACGCCTTAAGAGTTCCCTTCACTGGAACTAGGGGGCCAAGCCCAACTCCTGAGAAACAGCCCCACACCATAATCACCCCCCCCCCCCCCCCCCCCCCACACACACACCAAACTTTACACTTGGCACAATGCAGTCAGGCAAGTACCGTTCTCCTGGCAACTGCCAAACCCAGACACGTTCATCGGATTGCCAGACAGAGAAGCACGATTGGTCACTCCAGAGAACACGTCTCCACTGCTCTAGAGTCCAGTGGTGGCATGCTTTACACCACTGCAGCCAATACTTTGCATTGAACTTGGTGATGTAAGGCTTGGATGCAGCTGCTCGACCATGGAAACCCATTACATGAAGCTCTATGCACTGTTGTGCTACACTGAAGGTCACACCAAGTTTGGAGGTCTTTAGCTATTGACTCTGCAGACAGTTGGTGACTTCTGCGCTTCAGCATGCGCTGACCCCGCTCTGTCACTTTACGTGGCCTACCACTTGGTGGCTGAGTTGCTGTTGCTCCCAGTTGCCTCAACTTTGTCATAATACCACCAACAGTTGAGCGTGGAATATTTAGTAACAAGGAAATCTCACAAATTGACTTATTGCACAGATGGCAACCTATCACGGGACTACACTTGGAGTCACTGAGCTGCTGAGAGCGACCCATTCTTTCATAAATGTTTGTAGAAGCAGTCTGCATGCCTAGGGGCTTGATTTTATACATCTGTGGCCATGGAGGGGGACTGGAACACCTGAATCCAATGATTTGGAGGGCTAGCCCAATACTTTTGGTAATGTAGTGTAGCATGGACAATGACAGGTACTCTTTACAAAGAGATTTGGGGTCCATTATATCCCAAGATTTCTCCTCTGCCCTTAAAAACATTGGTCGGTTTGATCCAATGCTTTTCCCAAATCAGTAATGGCTTGTTTACATCCGGTGAAACCGGAAGTGACAAAATAACCGTGGCTTCCAGTTCCTTAGACCACAGAGATGATCAGGGACGTTCCAGTCCTCGATCATCTTTATGGTCAGCTTGTGGAAATGCTGCAGGGACCCCTTCCACTGCTTGTGAAGGAGATCCAATGATAACGGGCAAGCTGGATCACTTTTTGAAAGCAGTCCATCACCAGCTGTAAACACACAGATATGGGTATGATGCCTGTAGCTGCAGGCAACATCCCATATAACCACTCAAAGTTCTGTGATGTACAAGTACATTGCTGGAGCTTAAGTGGTTAAAGTGCATGTCTGCATAAATGCAAAAAAAAAAAAAATCATATTTAGTACATCATTTATGCAATATATACATGTCCCATGTTTTATCCCTAAACATGATACAAGTGCAGAAAAATAACTGTTGCTCTGCCAGAAATCCAGTGAATGCCTGACTTGCTGTAGTGAGCTCCTAAGCTGTGTTGTCAGCTCTGCCCAGTTTTCCTGAGGAGACTACAGAATACACCCCCCTTATTTCATGGAAATGAGGAGAGGGGGTGTTCTGTGCTTATGATTCAAAACATGCTAATAAATATGCATATGTTTTTTTTTCCATGGCCAGACATATACTTTAAATGTGTTTCTATTGTGTAGCCTGTCAAAGTTACTTAAACAGGTAATGATCTATCCAGGGCAAAGTGAAAAAAGTCACTTTAAAGCTCCCTGCCCCAACCCACTTATACTCTACTTTCCCCTACCACTCCTTACATTGCTTCCACCATAAAAACTCTGTTTATTCTTTGTCACACATGGGGGTGTGCATAAAAAAAATTGCAATTATTCATTAGAAACCATACATACATTCGGTTTTTAAAAATGGGGGTAAAATATAAAATATAACTATAATAATATTAGGCGATGTTCTCTCAGGGTCAAAAGTTTGTTCATAAACAACAGAGTGGCGATTAAAATAATTATTTCCTATGATCTCCAGCACCATCTAATGGCCATAATGTGGTATTTTCCCAATTCACTCTATTCTGTACAAATGAATAACTTTCAACTTGCAGAGAAAAAAGGTCTAATAACATTAGATTTTGCCCCATTTGCACAGAGCGAATTTACATACAAAGCTCTGAATTTTTGTATATACACACCCCATAGTTTTGGAGCTCACACAAAATTAAAAATGTCACCACCTCACTCATACAACCAGGCATTTTGGAAGCTTAGGCCCTAAGCACTCACCATGCAACTCATATGCTCCCTATACTTTGAAGCACTGGCTATGATGATGGAAGGAGTGACAGGGTCAGTGATGCGCTATATACAAATGGAGAAACAGAAAAAGGGCGCACCGACCTAGTGCATTATCGTTTAAAATAATTTATTAAAGAAACAAAAATAGGTATCATACTCACAATAGACATAACACAGGCATGTCAAACTGAACAAGGTGTATGATCCAAACAACATCTGAGTCCATATGATGGAACCCTGGATGACCAACTGGCTAACACGTTTCGAGGACACAACCTCTTCCTCAGAGCCAACACTCAGTGATGCGCTAGCAAGAGACCATCATATCTTTAAAGTATATGTGAACCCTCAACATGGAAAAACAACCAATTCATTTAAAATAGAAATGAAAGGAAAAACACTTGTGTTTATATTTAAAAAAAAAAATCATAAAAACCTTTCCCACCCCCCCCCCCCCCCTTTTTTTTTTTTTTTTAATAATACGTGATGACATACCTTCTGTTTTCAGCTGCATAAGGATCGTAGAGAGCTGGGGGTGGAGGAACAGGAGGAGACTGATCTTTCCAGTGAATGGCTGTGCGGGGAAGGGGGTCAGGATAAGTCTGATTATCTGATCACTGAATTAGCTCCCAGCACAGCTAGAGAACTGACCATGCTGTGCTCTCATGCCTAGTGCGGTCAGTTTATAATAGGCAAGCAGAAGGACTGGCGGGAACACCAGGGATTTCTTTCAAAGGAGGCAATACAAAGAGAACAGGATACTTTTTCATATAAGTACATAGTAAAGCAGGCACATATCGGGAATATAAAATGTTGAGTTTGCACGTTCTTTCAGCCAGCAGTTCACAAAGACAGATTTCAGGTAACTGCACTGGCTGAAAAGAAAAATAAACCGTGTGACCATCATCTGACTTTTGAAGTATTATAGGATTGAACTACATCCCTTGTCAAGAAGTCATTTAACCGGCAGATTGTGCAACAGCTGCAGTGGACAGTATTGTGAGACATTTATTTTCTGCCTACTCCAGATGAAAGAAAAGGTCTTGCAAACATGACTGGAAGCACAGAGGTCTTGGGAAAACATGACCTCTGACCCGGGCAGAAAGCATATTGTGAAATGGTGCTGTCAACACAGTGTCTAGTATGTGACATGCCATGTCCAGACAGTGCGGGATCACGCAGGGTGTTCCACCAGAGGAAGTGAATTAACAGTCTGCACACAATCCACTGAGGGATCTCCTAGACGGAGGCATGGAGACAGATAGTCCAGCAATTACTTAGAACTGTTGAGTCAACATTTCTCTTCATGCTTACACAATGCTGTTTTGCCATGAGGAATCAGATATATTTGGTTGAGACATGGAGGGTTAAGCTCACGCTGGGGGCATTGTACTCTATTTTGCTAAATCTTACAGGACAGGCAAAAAAACGCACAGACAGGAGAAAATCCCATTGCCGTCAATAGGTTCTGTGCAGGGTCGGACTGACCATTCGGAATCTCGGGCACTGCCCGAGGGCCCAGGGTCAGTAAAGGGCCCCATGAGATGTAGACCAAAGAAGAGATTTGTGAAAAGAGATTCACAAGAAAGCAGCTACATTAATGTAGCCGCTTTCTTGTGAATCTCTTTTCACAAATCTCTTCTTTGGTCTACATACTTTTTGGATACTGGATGGAAGCCATATATTGGGTGATACAGTAATTTAGAACCTCTAAATCTATCTTTTACGCCCCATGAGATGCCCCTAGTACCTTTCATAGGCTTTTTTGGGTGTGGTTTGAGTGTGGGCGAGGACACAGGGGCCCTATGATCCCTTATTACCTGGGGGCCCCATGAGTTATCAGTCCGCCCCTGGTTCTGTGCACACCAATGCACCATTGAGCAATGTCCTCTGGCCAGTTAACAATACAGCCAAAAGTAAAAACCTAACAGGAAAATGTACAGTTCAGTTCAGGAATGGCAGCAGACAGGTGTGATGCATCTGCATGCACAGCGAGGCGAAGACTTTTGGAGGATGGCCTCATGTCAAGAAGGGCATCAAAGAAGCCACTTCTCTCCAGGAAAAACATCAGGGACAGATTAATATTCGGCAAAAGGTACAGGGATTAGAATGCTGAGGACTGGGGTAAAGTCATTTCTATGATGAAGCACTTTCCGATTGTTTGGGGCATCCAGAAAAAACCTTGTCTGGTGAAGAAAAGGTGAGCGCTACCATCAGTCCTGTGTCATGCCAACAGTACAGCATCCTGAGACCATTCATGTGTGGGCTCACTCACAATTTTGCCTAGGAACTCAGCCAATGGTACAAAAACATCTTCCTAGAGCTGTTTCTCCTAACCATCCAAGAACAGTTTGGTGACGAACAATGCCTTTTCCAGCATGATGGAGCACCTTGCCATAAGTGATAACTAAGCGGCTTGGGGAACAAAACATCGAAATTTTGGGTCTATAGCCAGGAATCTCCCCAGAACTTAACCCCATTGAGATCTTGTGGTCAATCCCCAAGAAACGGGTGAAGAAAAAAAAACCCACAAATTCTGACAAACTCCAAGCATTGATTATGCAGTCAGGATGTGAGCCAAAAAATGATTGACAGCATGGCAGGGAAAATTGCAGAAGTATTGGAAAAAAAAAAGTCAACAATGCAAATATTAACTCTCCGCATAAACTTAATGCAATTGTCAATAAAAGCATTTGATACTTATGATATGCTTGCAATACTTCAATAGACCAGTGTTTCTCAACCTTTTTTCAGTCAAGGCACCCTTTAAAATGGACAGTCCCGAGGCACCCTTTAAAATGGACAGTCCCGAGGCACCCTTTAAAATGATGGACAGTCCCGAGGCACCCTTTAAAATGATGGACAGTCCCGAGGCACCCTTTAAAATGATGGACAGTCCCGAGGCACCCTTTAAAATGATGGACAGTCCCGAGGCACCCTTTAAAATGATGGACAGTCCCGAGGCACCCTTTAAAATGATGGACAGTCCCGAGGCACCCTTTAAAATGATGGACAGTCCCGAGGCACCCTTTAAAATGATGGACAGTCCCGAGGCACCCTTTAAAATGATGGACAGTCCCGAGGCACCCTTTAAAATGATGGACAGTCCCGAGGCACCCTTCAAAATGATGGACAGTCCCGAGGAACCCTTTAAAAATGATGGACAGTCCTGAGGCACCCTTTAAAATGATGGACAGTCCCGAGGCACCCTTTAAAATGATGGACAGTCCCGAGGCACCCTTTAAAATGATGGACAGTCCCGAGGCACCCTTCAAAATGATGGACAGTCCCGAGGAACCCTTTAAAAATGATGGACAGTCCTGAGGCACCCTTTAAAATGGACAGTCGCGAGGCACCCCATTCTAAAATGTGAAAAACGATTCTACTTTTTATATAACGCAGCAACATCCACAAATGTAGGATACCCAACATTAAAGATGATTTATTCTTCCAAAACAAATACACTTCTGCACACTGCTACTGACTAGTATTCCATTGTTTCTCTTCTCTCTCAATTTTTCTCCATCACTGAACTAATGTGACCTCAGTACTGATGGAGAGGGGCGGGGGAGGGTCAAACTAGGATGCTGTGCAGGCAGCTGACACCTACTTATCAACTAATGAGGTCATTGGTTGTCAGGACGCCAGCGGCTAGAAGATCGTAATGGTGCACAATGAAAACCTGTGGCTTTGTGTAACTAAAAGGCGGGCTTTTTACACCCACTGGCTTTTTTAGACATTTGGCCAAGGCACCCCTGAAGAAACCTCAAGGCACCCCGGTTGAGAAAGGTTGCAATATACCATAGTAACATCTGACAAAAAGATCTAAAAAACACAAACAGCAGACTTTGTAAAAGTTCATATTTGAGTCACTCAAAACTTTTGGCCACAGCTGTACAGGTAAGCTTTCTTACAAGCTTGCCTGTGGGTACTAGTAAGCAGCGGAGTTTACTACCACATGTCACATTTCTATGGCTATAACAACTCCACTTACTTGCTCAGGCTCTGATTTCATCCTGAGATCACCTGAATACACAGAGGCATCTCATTGTGGAAAATCATATCACTGATATTCAGTTTTCTGAGAACACCTTAACTGCAATCTGATTCTAAATGTCAGGGATTCCAAACTCCGCTTCTAAAGTCTATGAAAAAACTGTAATCTTCAACTTCCCAGGATCTAAACGGTTAGCACTTCCGACTGGCAGTACTCGGGTCGTTGGTTCGAATCCCCACCACGGCACCACCTGCCTGGAGTTTGCATGTTCTCCCTGTGTCTGCGTGGGTTTCCTCCGGCCGCTCCGGTTTCCTCCCACACTCCAAAGACATGCGGGTAGGTGAATTGGCTCCTGTCTAAATTGTCCCTAGTATGTGTATGTATGAATGTGAATTAGGGACCTTAGATTGTACGCCCCTTGAGGGTTAGGGACTGATGTGAATGTACAATATATATGTAAAAACTGGGCAAACTGACGGCGCTATATAAGTACCTGAAATAAATAAATAAATCTATAACTTCTAAAAATGCATGCTGGTACTAAAGATTTTAATCACACCCGACCAGGGGCGGACTGACACCTCATGGGGCCCCCGGGCAATAGGGGATCATGGGGCCCCTGTGTCCTTGCCCAAACTCAAAAAAGCCTATGAAAAAGGTTCCAGGGGCATCTCATGGGGCCCCCTACTGACCCCGGGCCCTCGGGCAGTGTCCGAGTTTCCAAATGGTCAGTCCGCCCCTGCTCCCGACATGACCTAACCGTATTCCCTTGGACATACTGAGCGTAAGGAGAGGACGTTCCAAAGAAGGAAAGCCATGCACCACAGCAACATAGGGCTGCAGACAAGACACAAGGTACTCTTAAGGCTGCAAGGGATCATGGGAAAATGATACAAGCATTAATAAAAAGGTTGGTAAATGGAGTGAACTTTCTGCTGGTGGTTGTTCCCTGCCTGGCACAGCAGTTCATTACAGGATTGTATCTGATGCCTACAGCTGCATACAAGAAAAAATAAAATGTCTTCCATAAATGACAGCTGCTTGACTGCGTCCCGACAATAGAGGCGGGTTTGTTTACGGGCTGGCTCGCCAGAGATTGTTTATTGCATGTCAGCAGCTTCATGCTAAGGAAGTGTTGTGGTAAACACAGAGACATTGACATCTCCAGCATTCAATACACGTTTATCTGCAGACTGGCATACCAAGGATTATCTGTTCCCAGCCGGGTCTGCAGAGCACAAGTCATGTCCAGCCAGCTGATCCTGATAGCTGAGGGATGATGTGAGTACACAGAGCAGAAGTGACTGAGCATGGCCATTATCAAATCACACCCTGCAAATAAAAAGGGAAAGCCATGGTGTATGGCCTTATTGACATAACAGATCAAACTGGCAAAAATTAGAAAGCATATTACATAATTCCTCCACCTTTCAAAATGAAATGTGGCAAGAAGTAAAAGGGTGAAGGGATACCAACGTTTCTCAATCAGGGTGCCTTGAGGTTTCTTCAGGGGTGCCTTGAGGTTTCTTCAGGGGTGCCTTGAGGTTTCTTCAGGGGTGCCTTGAGGTTTCTTCAGGGGTGCCTTGAGGTTTCTTCAAGGGCCTTGAGGTTTCTTCAGGGGTGCCTTGGCAAAATGTCTAAAAATTGCCCAAAAAACTTGTATACAAGCCAGCAGATGGAACAAGCCTACCTTTTAGTTACACAAAGCCACAGATTTTCTTGTAGACCATTAAGACCTTCTAGCCACCAGCATTCTGACAACCAATTACATCATCAGTTGATAAGGTGGATGTCAGCTGCCTACACAGCATCCTAGTTTGACCCTCCCCCGCCCCTCTCCATCAGTGCTGGGGTCACATTAGCTCAGTGATGGAGAAAAACTGCGGGAGAAGAGAAACATTGGAATACTAGCCCATACCAATTTGCAAAAGTGTATTTGCTTTAGAAGAAAAAAAAAAATCACCTCTAATGTTGGGTGTCCTACATGTGTGGATGTTGCTGAATCATATAAACTATTAGAATCATTTTTCACATTTTAGAATGGGGTGCACTTTTAAAATGGACAGTCTAGAGGCACCCCATTTTAGAATGGGGTGCCTCAAGACTGTTCATAATTTTAAAGGGTGCCTCGGGACTGTTGATAATTTTAAAGGGTGTCTTGACTGAAAAAAAGTTGAGAAACACTGAGGTATACTTTGCATATTTATTTAATGCCCAATCACATTCCTGCACCAAGGGATATCTGTAAGTGGTTTCCATAAGACATTTTAGACCTGTGCTCTTTGATGCAGTGTGCATCTTCTTTCAAGTCCTCTAATAATTTTCTTCATTTCTAAGGTCCTTCCTTCACACCATTTAAACCCAGATCTTCTATTTCAGCCTTTGTTTCCTTCCTTCACAGTGACATATGGCATCCCACAGAGTCCCTATGGATGTGCTGAATTTTTTAGGACGGGGCAGACGAGGCAATTTGTAGCCAATGCATGGGGCAAGCCTCCTCACTGAATCCTTATTGCTGCTGGAAATGTTATTAAAATCCCCGACTCCAAAAGTAGTCCAGTGTGTTTGCAGGGCCGGACTCCAGCATTATCTCCCTATACCCACTCAGCTTCAAGCACACATCTGATATTGACAGGGAGTTTGCAGAACTCAAAATCTTGTGAAAAACAGAGGTTATGGCCTTCAGTGGACTGAGAACTAGCACTGTAAATACCCTGATGAGTCCGGATGTAATGGATGGAATCAAATTTTGGATTCCAGGAATTAAATCGCTACATGAATCACCTGCTACAGCCAGAAATGCTAGGAGGGTCTTTTTCAAAATGATTTCTCAGCAAATTAAAGCATGGAGACATGGAAAGATGGCGGAGTTTGCTTTAAATGTTAAAAATGAATTAAATAGTACCTTTGGTTGGTGGTGCTCAGGTACAATGTAGTTCCGCTTTAAAGTCTAAAGCTGGACTTGCACCTATCGAAGTTGCGGCAGCTCAGCAGGAATGAGCAAAATTTCAAACAGTGCGTGGCCATTCCATAAAGGAAAACTTTTCTTGATCAGCATCTGCAGCAAACCTTAGTATGGACAGTGAGCAGGAGGAAGGGTCTGCAGGAGCCTGGAATTGCACCCACAATCCACTGCCAATGTAATGCTTTGCAAGCTTATTTATAAAAAATGCACTTTGGCAAAAATGTGCATTAATTTTTTTTGCAATAGGTGGACTTCAGCTTCACTAGCTGGCTCCTTGCATGGCCTCATTTAGTGACTATTTAGAGTAGAGAAAAAAAATCAGGCAACTAGCATTTTCAGAAGGTCGGCAACAGCATTCTGCATACTTTTTCCAGTTCATGTTTCAATTGAGAGTACCCGTCACCCAAACCGGTGACATGAACTATCTTCTAAACTGAAAAATATTTATCTCCTGTGTTCACCAGAAAATACAGACTTCCACACACATTAGCGAATATATTGCTATGGACACCTCAGATTTTAATACATAGAGAGGAATTTGTCAAAACTGGAGCAGTCACTTGCCTTTCCTTTAACATCCCTAGCGGTCTGATTATGTCCATACTTCTGTGCTCAAAGCGGCACTTTTTTTGCATGGAAATATGTATTTGTTTTATTGTAGGCCTGTAATTTTTAGGAATAATCTGTCCGAACAAGAGTCTAGTAAACATCCCGGGTATGATAAAATTTGAAATACAAAATCAAATTATAATTTAATAAATCATAAAAAATAATATAATACATTTAATTAAATAATCAAACCAAAAACACTGAAATTTGAAATACAGCGCCAAGTTCGCACATCGCTGAGCAAAATTCACAAAATCATTTTCAGTGTCTGATGACGAATTTCCCCCACGAATCATTATCACTCAATTCTGCAAGTGGTTCTGATTTACTATCGCTGTTCTCTAGCCGGTCTAAAACCGCATTTGACCTAAAGGGACGCTTTTTGGACGCCATGGACGTTTCTCAGTTTCCAGGCAGAAAGAACAGTAAAAATGCAGGCAGGGCGCCGGACAAAGCACTCGGGACAAAATGTATGTGAAATGGTTTGATACAGGAATGTTATACTATGTGATTTTAGTGTATTTAGGGAATGTCACTTTTACAATTTTCAAAATTCCCGCCAGTTCTGTCCCCTGTATGTCCCGACATCGCAGGGAACGGAACCCGGAAGACAGATGCCGGCAACGGCCGGAGGAGATGGCCTGGGACACTGCAGGGGGGACATTGCAAGAGCGCAGGACAAGGTAAGTGAAGAAGAGATCCCGGAGCAACGCTGCAGTGTATTCCCGAGTGTAGCTCGGGGTTACCGCTTGTGGTGCTGAAACTTTACCCCGAGCTACACTCGGGAATACCGCCAGGGGGGTTAATGTTCCCTGTCCCTTGCCAACATCTTCTTCTGAGTGTTGGTCTTTATACCTATTCATAGGCTGGCACAGGATGACGTCATGTCTGTGCATGCAGGAATCAATTATGGAACTCTCTACCCCAATTTATCAGACAATTGCCTACTCTGCTCACTTTTAGGCGATCTCTGAAAACCTCTCTCTTCAGGGAAGCCCATCCTGCCCTCAGCTAATAATGGAATCTTCTAGTCTTCCTACCAGTCCATCCCCCACAGTTACTACCTTTTGTACCACTAGCCCCTCCCTCCTAGATTGTAAGCTCCAAGGAGCAGGGCCCTCCTTTCCCTCTTGTATTGAACTGTATTGTTGCTGTATTGTCTCCCGTTATATTGTAAAGCGCTGAGCAAACTGTTGGCGCCATATAAATCCTGTATAATAATAATAATAATAATTATGCCAACACATGGAAACTGTACCAGCAATGTAAGCTGAGCTGCGTATGCACAGCTCAGTTTACATGCCAGAGAATGCTGCAAGCAGGCAGGTAGGTGCATTTTATTGCATGTCTCATCTGCAAAAGCAAAGCCTGCCTGCTCCCAGTTTGCAAAAATGGAAGTTCCACTTTAATTAAACAAGCTGAAGAAAGTAGATACTGGCTGGAATGCACAGCCGCTTCAGATTCTGACTGCGCCAGTTTTGATGAATTTCCCACATAGTGTTTTATTTCTTCAGTTTGGATTCATATGGCGCCACTCTTGTCTGTGCACTCTTCTTTACCGGCCTTTAGTGACAGGATGTTGAATATCCTGATCTAGCTGACCAGTGACAGGTACACTTTTCAGAGGAGTCTTCTTGACGTCTGGTAGCATATGTATCATAGTTTGGATCTACACAGACCGGAGGGGAGGGCAAGAGGTGTCATACTCCATGCATGTTCATGTAGTCGGAATGACTGCACTGTTTGTGTCATGTTTAATGTTCTGCTTGTTGAGGCTTTGTTCTGCAGGCCGCCTCTACATCTAGCGGTTTCTTATCAGGCAGCTGACGGCAAGCTTCAGCAGAGCCCGTCAGGCTGTCTCCTTCTCCCACTGGCCAAAGATTTCAGTCTATCAGGTGGGAGGGAGAGGAGGCGAGAGACTGACCATCTGACATAATGAATGTATTTATACATTAAACTTTAGCATACAGTAAATGAGGCTGCAGCTTATCAGACAGACATTTATCATGCGGATGCAGGGAAAGGGCCTCTCACGATTCAGGAACAATGCACATAAACTGAAGATAAGACATACTGCAGCCTGGAATAACTTCTATGACAGCAATTATTTACTAGGCAGAGATGAGTCCTCATCTTGGGCTGCTCAGGCTTCTTTATTAGTGGCAACATGAACCTGTGCTAACGTGAAGTGTACTGAAAAAGGTGTGATGTAAATCCACGATGGAGATTACAGGGTCAGCGACAAGGACGGACGTTTGCTGGACATTAAAGAGGTTCCCTAAAGAGTGTTTCCCAGTCACTTGGGCCTGTACAGTAGTCATATAAATGGCTTAATACAGGCAAGGGATAGGGAAACATTTGCTTTGCAGTGAGCTGTAGCACCTGTTAAGCAGCCCACAGATTATGAAATTTTCTTTCCTTCCAGCTTTTGTGAAAATTGCGATATTCCTCCATCAATTTATTATTATTATTATTATACAGGATTTATATAGCGCCAACAGTTTGCTCAGCGCTTTACAATATAATGGGAGACAATACAGCAACAATACAGTTCAATACAAGAGGGAAAGGAGGGCCTGATCCTGGGAGCTTACAATCTAAGAGGGAGGGGCTAGTGGTACAAAATGTAATAACTGTGGGGGATGGACTGGTTGGAAGAGTAGAAGATTCCATTATTAGCCGAGGGCAGGATAGGCTTCCTGAAGAGATCGCCTAAAAGTGAGCAGAATAGGCGATAGTCTGATAAAATGGGGTAGAGAGTTCCAGAGGATGGAGGAAGCTCTGGATAAGTCCTGGAGACGAGCATGGGAGGAGGAGACAAGGGAGCTAGAGAGTAGGTCTTGTGAGGAGCGGAGAGTACGGTTTGGGTGATATTTAGAGACAAGATTGGTGATGTAATTTGGGGCAGAGTTATAAATGGCTTTATACGTTATTGTTAATGTTTTGAATTTTATTCGTTGGGCAATGAGAAGCCAGTGGAGGGATTGGCAGAGAGGGGTGGAGGACACTGAGTGGAGGTCAGTGGAGGGATTGGCAGAGGGGGGTGGAGGACACTGAGTGGAGGCCAGTGGAGGGATTGGCAGAGAGGGGTGGAGGACACTGAGTGGAGGCCAGTGGAGGGATTGGCAGAGAGGGGTGGAGGACACTGAGTGGAGACCAGTGGAGGGATTGGCAGAGAGGGGTGGAGGACACTGAATGGGGGCCGGTGGATGGATTGGCAGAGAGGGGTGGCAGATACAGAACGGTTAGTAAGGTGGATGAGTCTGGCAGCAGCATTCATGATAGACTAAAGAGGGAATAGCCTGCGATGAGGTTGGCCAATGAGGAGGGAGTTACAATAGTCGAGGCGTGATATAATAAGGGAGTGAATAAGTTGCTTAGTGGTTTCCGAGGTTAGGAACGGGCGTATCTTGGAGATGTTGCGGAGGTGAAGTCTACATGATTTGGACAGTGATTGGATTTGGGGCTGAAAGGACAGATGGGAGTCTAGGGTTACACCTAGTACCCTGGCAGGGAGGAACTGATGATTGTGTTATTGATCTTGATGGAGAAGTCAAGGGAGGGGCGCGGGCTGGGGGGAATACTAAGAGCTCAGTTTTGGAAAGATTAAGTTTGAGGAAGTGGAGTGACATCCATGCCGATATGTCACTTAGTAGGTTAGTAATGCGAGAGGAGACTGAAGGGGCGAGGTGAGGGGTAGTAGAAAGATAGATTTGCGTGTATCAGTGTTGATGGGGGAATCCTTCCTACAGGGCTATTGTGTTCTGCTGGCAGGGAGCCTTCCCTGCCACCATTACACAATGATCACTGCTGACGGCTATAGCTGCCAGCAGTGATGACAAGGAAAAAATCCAACTGGCTGTGACTGATAGATCAGTTTCAGTACAACCAGCCTGACCATAGATGTTGAAACCTCAATCTCATCTATGGCTGGCTTTACTGGTATCCCATCATGCCAACTCCTTCCATCTTGGTTTGGAAGAATCCTAAAGTGCACAGTGCCACAGAATTCAGGACTACTACGACACTAATGATTTTTACCATCTGTTCCCCTTATCACTTGGCCCCTTTCATTAAAACTGACCCTGATAGCACAGGGTCACTTGTAGCCAAAACCAATACTTCTTCAAACACCAAGTACTGAAAAAGTCATACAGGTTAAATTGCCTGTTTCTCTAATCACGTGCATTGGTTCCTCCGGCCAGTTCTTGCGTCCTGTTATGATTTTCAGTATGAGCCCGAGGGAGGAACCACTGTGTGCAGCTATCAGTAGTAATGAAGGGACTGGCAAGTGAAATCATAGTGGGGAATGCAGGTATCTGACACACCAATAAGGCAGTATGGTCTGTGACACTCCAAAAAGAAAAGCAGCAAGAGAAAGGCTTGCTAAGAGCTAAGCCCAATGCAGTGTGGCAGATGTGTATGAACCACAAGACTGGCTGAACAGAGCAAAAGAATCAGATTACAGACACTTATTAAAGTAGGTAGATGTTTGCCACCAGCTCCAATATAACAGGCAGGGGCGGACTGACAACTCATGGGTCCCCCAGGCAATAGAAGATCATGGGGGCCATGTGTCCTTGCCCAAACTCAAAAAAGCCTATGAAAAAGGTACAAGGGGCATCTCATGGGGCCCCCTACTGACCCCGGGCCCTTGGGCAGTGCCCGAGTTTCCAAATGGTCAGTCCTCCCCTGATAACAGGGCAAAACAATTATTGCATACAATATACTTTGTGAGTCCTGTGACTACTCGAACAATTATGGAAAGGATCAGCAGCAATCAGGTGTGGATTGTAGCTTCATTGCACCATATGATCATTGTCCTGGTGGCAGATAAAGACCACACATGAATGTCCACACCCAGCAGCAAGGAAGGGTAGTCCTGTAGAAGGCTACTTTCATACTGATCCGTATAAAAAAGCGTTTTTGTTGTGTTTGTAGTGCGGTTTTTAAAAGGACATGCAATTCAAAAACCACAGCAAAAAAAAAGAAACACATGTGTTTTTTATGCATTTTTGCCACGTTTTCCATTGGAGGAGCTTTTCTTGTGCGTATTTTTTTTTTTTGGCACACCAAACACACCAAAAAGCAGGAAGGATTTTAAAAACCTATATAAATCAAATATAAAAGGTAGCGCTTTTGTCATAAATAAATAAACTTATATTGTGAAATAAATAAAATTAAACGTGCACAAAAAAATGTCTTTGATTTCTTTCAAATGATGTGAATAAAGTCCATCACCACAAAAGTGTACCAATCCACTACCAGTAGAAATAAATAAACTCACCAGAGCATATTGCTAGTAGTATTATAAACTAGCAATTTGCACATTTGCTCTGGGAGCAATGATCTGCAGACAGGTACCACGGCAACAGGACTCTCCAATATATCCAACTCTCAGCTTTTGGGAGTAATAGTCTGCAGACAGGAAACCCCAGGCAACAAGACTCTCCTAGTATATCCAACTCCTCATAGCTTTGGGAGCAATGCTCTGCAGGCAGGAAACCAGGATTCTCCAAACAATCCAACTCCTCTTACATAGGCTCAGAAGGGAAATTTAGATCAATGTCAATATTTAACCCTTGAGGTCTCAAGGTATCTAAACTATAAATCCAATATGTCTCCTTTTTGGAAACTTCTTTTAACATGTCAATCCCTCTCAGATGTTGGTCATTTTTATCAATACCCCAAAAAGTCAGCAAATTTGGATCAAAATTAAAATTAAATTGTTTTAAAAATCGCAGCAGACCCACAATGGATCAGTGTGAAACATTCCATAGGATTATATGGTCATATCTTGTGCAACACAGTGGCTAAATGGTTAGCACTTCCACCTGGCAGTACTTGGGTCGTTGGCTCGAATCCCCACCGCAGCACCACCTGCCTCGAGTTTGCATGATTTCCCTGTGCCTGTATGGCTTTCCCTCCGGGTATTCCGGTTTCCTCCCACACTCCAAAGACATGCTGGTAGGTTAATTGGCTCCTGTCGAAATTGTCCCTAGTATGTGTATGTATGAATGTGAGTTAGGGACCTTAGATTGTACGCCCCTTGAGGGTTAGGGACTGATGTGAATGTACAATATATATGTAAAGTGCTGCGTAAAATTGACAGCGCTATATAAGTACCGTATATACTCGAGTATAAGCCGAGTTTTTCAGCACATTTTTTGTGCTGAAAAACGGCCCCCTTGGCTTATACTCGAGTCAATGTCTGCAGATGACATACCGTCCCTGTCATCTGGACACACCCCCGGGATCAATCCTCGCCGGTGATTGGCCGCCGGAACTGTAGCTCAGGAGAGGCACACAGGCGCCCAATCACCGGCGAGGAGGTGGAGCTTGGAGAGGAGGAGCCGAGCGGCACCGCGAAGATCGAGCGAATGAAGAGGAGGAGAGCGGCCGGAGAAGGAAGACATCTGACCGGTAAGTGTGTACCATGGGAGAGGGAGGGAGGGAGCGAGCGAGCCCAGGCTGGAGCAGGGGTCACCAACGATGGGGCACTATTCCTCCCCCCCACTGACACCAACGATGGGGCACTATTCCTCCCCCCCTCGATGGGGGCTTATACTCGAGTCAATAGTTTTTCCCAGTTTTTTGTGGTAAAATTAGGTACCTCGGCTTATACTCGAGTATATACGGTACTTACCTTAAAATAAAAAAATAATATCTTCTGCTTTTTGCCTTTTTTTTTCTTAACGCAAAAGCATAAGAAAAACAGATCAGTGTGAAAGCAGCTTAAAAACTAGTAGTCACTATAGTTGTGTAACAGTATCAGGCTTATCAGGCCACTAATAAAGTGACAGTAAATTTAGTTATTTATTTTTTAAACAATATGCTATACTTACCTGCTTTGTGTAATGATTTTGCATAGAGCAGCCCCAATCCTCCTCTTCTGGGGTCCCCCACAGGCACTTCTTGCTCCTCCACCCTGCCAAGTGCCCCCATAGCAAGTGGCTTGTGTGGGCTCAATCCAAAGCTGTGCTGTGTGTGTCCATGGACACACACAGCGTGGCTCGGCCCTGTCTCCTGCTCTCCCCTCACAGGCTGTGAGTGACAACAGCAGGAACCAATGGATCCCTCTGCTGCCTCCATGGCCAGTGAGGAGAGAAAGCGCAGAGAGAGACACTGCTCTCAGATACAGCAAATATCAAGGCTGGGTACAGGGGGCTGGAGGGGGGAAACTGTATACAAAAGCTTTTTTACCTTAATGCAGAGAATGCATTAAAAAAATTCTTCTACCTTTACCACCACTTTACAGGAAACCGACTAAATCACTAAAATTTCATAATGGACGAACAAGTCCAGAAACAGCTATGCATCAAATGTTTTTAAAATAGCATACATGGCTCATTAGTTATTAACCTCTTGCCATCCGCCTGCTGTTTATAAACGGCCGGACGGTAACACTCCAGGGGCGGGTTGCCGTTCATAAACGGCACCCCGCCTTGTCTAGCTGTGCACGCTCCCTGGGAGCGTGCAGCACCGCGATCCGATGCCCACTGTGTCCTCCGGACACAGTGAAACACCGATCGTCGGACGGGACCTCTATACGAGGTCCCGATCATGTGATCACTGATTGGCGAATCAGTGATCACATGCAAAGTAGCAAGCAAGATGTCACTTGTGACATCATTGCTTACTACGTGTGAAATCTGTGAATGATCACAGAGGTCACATGGTACAAGGCTATTCACAACAGCCTTGTACCATGTGACAAGCTGTGACCAATCACAGCTCACTCAGTACTTCTCAATGACTGCAAGAATGCAGACAAAGAGAAAGAGAAATAATTGCTTTTACATCCTATATGGGTTTAAAAGCAATCAGTGTAAAAAAAAAAAAAAAAATCTTCAACCATGGTGACACTGTACTGCTAGGGTGACAGTATGTAAAAAAAAAAAAAAAAAATATCTAAAAAAAAATAAAATAAAAATGTAAAAAAAAATGTTTAAAAATTATAATTTTTGGTTATAAACTAATTTGGATTTTTTTACTAAAAAAATAACGGAATAAATTTTGGCCAAGATTTATGATGAAATATTATTTATTTGCAAAATTTTATTTAAAAAAAAATCTTTTTTTCAAAATTTTTGGACATTTCATTTACATAGTAAAAAAAAAAAATCCCAGCGGTGAATAAATACCACAAAATAAAGCTTTATCTGTCTCAAAAAAATGGTAAAAAATTCATATGGGTACAGTGTTGCATGACCGCGCAATTGCCATTCAAAGTGTGATAGCGCTGAAAGCTGAAAATTGCCCTGGACAGGAAGGGGGTAAAAGTGTCCGGACAGGAAGTGGTTAGGTGATCACAGAGACTTAATGCAATTTGGAATACTTGATTTAATAATATTAAGCTATATTTGCACTATACACAAGCATTTCTGGAGGTGCATCAGCCTGATCAAGCATCCCCCAATGAGGAATAATTTTGGGGATATGTGAAGAGGGACATTTGAATACATTTAGTTTTAGAAGACCTTGTTTAGATTGCTTTAGTCCCTTCTTATTCCACCCTATATAGCTAAACAGTCTCTAAGAAAGTAATACAATTTTTTCTGTCCACCCACTCACTAGCTAGATATGTGGTTGTCAACCGATGAGCTACAAGGGGCTTCAAATGTGGCCCCTAAGATCAAAGAATGTTAAATGTATGTAATACTTAAGAGGACTGTCAGACACTGCAGACCTAATAGAGGAAATGAGGGTCAGAGTGT